GTTCAGTTTGCAATTTCAATTCTCCTGAAACTATTCAGCATATTTTGTTCGAATCTACAGGGTGACTGGAATTCGAGCCTCATCATGATTGGGATCTCGTATAACGTAAGAGATACAGGGTCGGTTAACCGCAATTTTATGCCTAACAAAATGCCGTTTTGAAATTTGAAAAATTCCGAATACTTTAAAAAAAATCGAATATTCGCGCTTGAATTTTTTTATGACTCTTCGATTTGAATATACAATGCTTTTCTTCAATGTCCCCCTCCTAGTATTTTTTTGAATGGGTCAACGAAAAAAAAAAGTTGGGGTAATGAAATTATTGCATGAATACTATATTATGGAGTGAAATTGATAGATGAAAATTTCAAGATGGCAACTGGGCGCTATTTGGGGAAAATAATTAAATGGAAAGGGGGTCTTGTGATACATCTTCTTGAAGATCCTGACGAATACTATACAATCCTAGAACTACTACACAATGGCGGAACATTTGATAGTTCGCAACAAGAGTTAAAAAAACATCAATATGGATATTGTATTCCAACAAGATGGAGCACCACCACATTACTTCAAACAGGTTAGAAATATTTGGATAATACTTTCCCTGGTCGTTGGATTGGCCGTCGAGGTCCTACGGAATGGCCAGCCCGCTCGCCAGATTTGACACCTTCAGACCTTTTTCTTTTTATTTGACACAACATGTGTACGAAACTGCATCTGCTTCAATGTTGGATATATTACAGAGAACGATAAATATTGGTAGAAATATCTACGATACTGTGTTCGAAAGTGGTCGGCGTGAAATATCCGATTTGCTGATCTTATGTCAAGAAGTTCAAGGCTATCCTTGCTAGCATCTTCTGAACTCGTCGATGTATTCAGGCAATTATTAAATGTTCCGTCATTTTGTACTAGGTGAAGATATTGACTTTATATTCTAGGGTTCTGAAGTATTCGTCAGGAGCTTCAAGGAGATGTATCACAAGACCCCCATTCAATTTTCTTCTCCAGATGGCGCCCAGTCGCCATCTTGAAATTTCCATCTGTCAATTTTACTCCAATATCTTTATTTGACTCGTTCGAAAAATAAAGGGGAGGGGGAAATCACTGTAGATATAACAAAACAAATGATAAACTCTCATATTTTCTCATTCTACAAGATTTTTCAACCGGAAAAAAGTAGCAATGAGAAGATGTGATTTGTTTTGTTATATCAATTCAAATAGAGTCATGAAAAATAGAAATGAAATCGCGAGTATTCGGTTTTTTCCAAAAATCTTTGGAAGTATTCGGAAGTTTTTCGAATTTTAAAGCGGCATTTTGTCAACTATGCCATAATCTAATCGACCCTGTAACTCTCACGGTTTACGGGATCCCAATGATAAGGCTCAAATTCCAGACACCCTGTACTATGTATAATAGTGTCAGGGTAGTACAAAACTATAGCTTCCTTCAGAATGTGCATTCGTTTTTAGATGCCCCTGATAATATCACTCCATTCGTTTTTAGATTTCTATAGAACAATTGCCAATCACATATGGAATATTCACCTTCTTATTTATTCTATACAGGGTGTATCTAAATAATGCCGAAAAAATTGAAGGGGTGGAAGCTCCATATTACTATCAACGAAACAACGTTTTTTGAAATTGATGAAAAGACAATTGAGTAATGAATGAAATAACGATGTTTTTCTGTGACGGGAAAAAAGTTTGGCATCTCATCTTTTGGCAGGTTATAAAATGTCACTTTTCATAAATTACTTTTTTCCCGTGGGAAATTTTTTTTTCCTTTCTTCCCAGATATACAGAGTGTCTCACTTTATACGGGCCCCCCTCTATATCTCAGTTATTAGTCATGCGATTCCAACAAAAGTTGATGTGGTATGAATAACCATCAATATGATCAGTTTTACAGATGTGCACATCATTTTGGACAGTGCCGTACGTTTTTATTGAACTAAAAAGGGTCGATTTTTCATAAAATCATATTAGGCACTTTTTTTTTACAGGAAATCTAACCTCATATGCTACCATATGCAAAAAATCACCTAATTCGGAATTAGCAGGATTGGCTCCATTTTTTTCATTTTCAGTCTCGAATAAATAGTGACTTTCCGAGTAAATAATTATACCGTTCGCAAAAATGCTGTTTAGATGTGCCTGTTTTTTTGAAACCCTTCACAGGCATCTTATGAAAATCCACATATGTGGGTTTGAAACCATGGAGAACAATATTATGAAGTCAGTTTTCCTGTGAAAAAATGCCTAATATATGATTTAATAAGAAACTGACCCCTATTCATTTCAATAAAAATGCACGGCACTGTCTAAAATTATGTTTGTCTTTGAAGAACTGGTCATATTATTCATGCCGTTACAAATTTGGTAAAGATCGCACGACTGATAGCCGAGATATAGAGGGGGGTCGTTTGAAATGAGACACACTCTATATCACATATATATGCACTATTGATGGCTTTTGTTGTGCTATAGTTCCGAAAAATGAGTCAATAATACCGTCTCCGAGAAAGAACTGCAAATCCTTTTATCTTCCATTCGACTTCGCGGTTACGTATATTACTAAACAACCACTAAATTCGCAATTTTTTGAAATCAAATCACAGAATTAGACTGACAGAAGTGACATCAGATATTTGATTACTCCAAAAGAATGATAAAGATGCCTACAACGCAGGTTTCCCTACTGTTAAAAACTTAAAATTTCACGTCGATAGTTTTCAGATTTAAAAATAATGTAGAATTTTCTTGATATTGATTCGTCCTTCCTTCTGTCACAGAAAAAAATAGTGTATTATACACGGGAAAACAATTAGATTTTAGCTCACGGTTTTTTGTCCCCCTCCGCTACGCGTCGGGAGACAACACAACCTGGAGCTAAAATCTACAACTTTTTTCCCTTGTATAATAAATAACTAGTTCATGTATCTCGAAAACGAAGCAAGTTTGGACACATGTTCATATGAACTTTGTTTCCTAAAATATCACAAGGAATCATCCCTTGAATTCTTTCGGTGTTATTTAGATACACCCTGTATATAGGGTATCTATGTTTAATTTGTTTTTTGTTTTTTTTTTTGCCCTCTGTTATTACCTAACACATAAACTGTTATGGTTACCAACATTTTTTGTATTCAAACTGTATATTTTTGTCTTTAATGGAGGATTTATCACGTTAGTATAAGATACTTATTATATTCGTGTATTGAAATTATACCTATATCTGTTATCAATATTTTCAAAGAGCTTGCAAAAATCTTCGTAAAGTAATTACACCATTAGGTTTCGAGAAGCTATACTAGTTTCTCTTAGAATGAAATGAAGCCAAGATTTATTCGACTTTCCCAACGTTTCTGTCAAAGGCAAATTTGGTATCTAGAAGAACTCCCAAATCCTTAATGAGATTTGATTCCTTGAGAGGCTCTCCACATAAAAAAGAAATTCAGAAGCAGGGGAAAAAACCCGAGTGAACAATATTTTACATTTATGTAAATTCAAGTGAAGTTATCTTCGCGACGTTTAATAGAAGAACATGGATATTTCACAACCAGGGGGGACGTATTTTGTGCCAATAATAAGCCCATCATCAGTCAAATGATAGTATAACGTTCTATGTCCTATGTTATTAAAAGGAGCAGGCAAGGCTTTACTTTTTTTTGGGTTATTGAACGACCAAAAAATTCGAGGATCGGTTTTAATGTTACTTTCGGCACAGATTAACAAATAGGGTTTGTTAATCCGGCTTTCGGTGAGTTGAACGTTGCATTCGTGATCTTCATCAATAGCTTTCATGATTTTGCGTAAATTTGAAACGGTATTATAATCTTCGGGATTTTCCTCTTTTTCTCATATCATGTGGAATTTTTCTTTTTGATCAATTATACTTTTTGTTCGCGACAAAAACCAAGAAAAGTTTGTGGCCTTGGTAAAACAAAACTTGTGCATATTGTTTGGACTTCACATACGATAAGATTGTCAAAGTCACGAAATGTTTTACTCACACAGTATATTTTTCGAGTGGAATATTCATACAATGAATAGTTATTTGTACTGGAACGTTCTTCCAATACACTTTTGTGTCAAAAGGTATCAAAATTTTCACAAACAGTGATATTGTATCAATGGTCCTTACCTACTTAAAGGAAAGTCCTTGAGCTGATTTATTATTCACGACAGAAATTTGCATTATGGATTTTCAGGGTAGCACGTGCGGTAGTGGTAACATTCTTCAAATATTATACTTAGTTTCAGGGTTGTCAAACTTGGTTTGAATATAATGGTGAATAACAATCAATGGAATATTATGGTTTTCTATATAAACCGGAAACTTGGAGAACTGACCATGTTTCATTGATCCGGGTTTCCAGTAAAAATAATCATATGTAACGAAATATACAGTGAGGACATAAAAAGTCTCTCCGCCTTTTGAACGGAGTGGAATGATGAGCTAGCGAAGATAACTCATTCAATGTCATGTAGAAATGATTTTTGAAGGATGAATGAAAAGTAAGTAAGTAAATCTGGTATTTAGGTAAAAAGGTACATCTTTTACTACTTGTTGGCATGAAAATTGTTATGATCACGTGACCTAGTGTCAAGGAGGCACCATCAACTTTTTTTTCAAATGTAAAGAGGCGTCACCTGGTACCTGGTTTTGATGTATGTATGTATGTACGCTGGTTTGTGCAAATCGGCCAAGATGTTTCAAACTGACCAGCGTTTGAAGTTACCTCGGAAACATGTAATAACGTTCGGAATATAAACTCCAAAACCGATTTTTTTCTGTCTCCTTTACCACGTGACCACAACCATTTTCATGCCAAAAAGTAGTGAAAGTATTTGAATTCTACCTGTTCTCGCTAGCTCGTTCGGTTCGAAGATAAAAGGGGGGGAGGACTTTTTACGTCTACAAAAAATCCGCAATTTTTTCAGAGCAAAGATCAATAGAAAAGATTTCAATATGAATATTCGACTCACCTGTGCAACTTTTTCCCCCATCTTTGGCGTATGTATGCCGCTCTGGAAAAATTTAGCCGATCCATTATCTTGAAAGGAAAACTGAAAAGAAAGAGAAAAAAATAACCGTCAAGACATGCAACCGTGAAAATAATAATTATTGATATGGAAATATATGTGATTTGAACACAAAGGGAACTAGGACTGATAAATTAGTTTTTCCTATACTTTGATGGAGATTTTGCCTAATACAGGGTGGGTCACCTCAAGACATGGCCGTAATATGTGAGGAAAATGATTCTACAATGTAACTCAAAACATTACATTTTTCGGAAATCAAAATCATGACGTATTCGTTTTAGATTCCACCCTACGTATTTTTATAGTATACTATAGAATGCCAGTATTGAGGAAAATATGGAGATCCAAATAAACTTCAGGGAAAGACTCTGACGTTACATGTCACATCTGTAGAAATAATTTCAATGTGGAAGGAAGGATTCCAATCATTTCAATCGTCTTGGAAAGGCATTGGTATACTAGCTCCATAATTCACATTGTTTTACTGAATTTTCAAAATGTTTCTAGTTTGATAGAAGACTTTGATAAAACATCTGATATTTTTACACTGTGTATACTATAATGATGTGCTGAATGTAATCATTTCAAAATCACTTTGTATAATCGAAATAACTCACAAACCTTTGACATTCTCCTCATGTTTCTTCTCAAGGATCCTCTGGAATTCTTTTTCTTTTGGGCATTCCGTTCACAGAATATAGACACTCGAATCATGTTTTTCAACGACAAAAACTGTTTTCTTTCAATCAGAGGGATGTGTTATTTAGACAGAAACACTGTAGACATGTATCATTAAATGCTGCACATTTTTCCGTGAGATTGAACACAGGGATATACAACGTGTCGCCCAAATTTCCACAATATGGAAAACATTCATTATACAGGGTGCATGGATCATACTCTAGCTAGTGATAAACAAGTTCATAACCTATCACAAAACCATAATTGAACATCAGTAAAATCCTCACGAAAGTATGTGCTGACTGGGCCTGACTAGTTCGTCTGACTGGTATTGCTAGTGATGGAATTATATAGCAGAGATTTCTGAGGATCATTTCCCGAGTGAAAGGTCGCCGACTTTTCTAAGGTGATCTAATTAGGTCAATGAGTTAGTGAATGTGGAATCACCCATCAGAATGGCTTTTCTCTGGATGGAATCTCAAAGCATCAGCGTATCTTTGATTGTTGAACCCCATACTTGAGAACAGTATTCTGAAGCTGGCCGTATCTGTGCTTTGTCGATCATGAGAAGCTGTTGAGGTGTAAAGAAGATTGTGAAGCAGCTTTTGCGATGGATCGGACATGATTTACTAGAAAAAATACAGGCTTGAGTTTTGGTGGCGTTGAATCCAACCAGGTTGTTGGTTCCCCAGGCTGAAATTTCCGCAAAGCGTTGGGATGCCTATTATTTATTTATTCAGCAAAAGCTAACCTACAAGTCAATGTAATATAAAAACAGTTATAAGATCTAAACGAACAAGGAACATCTAGACACTTAATTCACAAACTCAAGATCAACACAAAAGGTACGATTCCCTTCGTCGTAAGTTCTTAGTTTCCTGGGAAGAAATGGGAATTCTAGAAGAGAAGGCATTATGGAAAATACTATCGTCTGCAAAGCTATGGATAGGGCAAATGGTTGCTCCTAATAGATTGTTGATATGAAGTAGGAACGATGTTGGTGCCAAAATTGATCCTTGTGGAACCCCAAAAATGATGGCAATGGTATCAGACGATATGCCGTCCACTACCAAATGGAGCGATCTGCCTGAAAGAAAACTCAAAGGATGGCATAGCTGAGGTGGTAAGCCGTATGATGATAGTTTGTGGACCAGTCCTTGGTGCCAAACACGGTCGAATGGCTTCGATATATCTGTAGCGCTATACAGCTAGAGATTCCCCATGTTTTTCTAATGAAGCTTGCCATATATCCAGTTGATCTTCGGTGGCGAAAGCCATATTGTCAGTCATTAAGGATTCCTGAGCTTCCCAGATATCTGATGAGCTCAATGTTGATGGCTTCCTAAATCACTTTGGAGATGACTGAAAGCAGGACAATTGACCTATAGTTGTTGAACAGGCTTTTGTCTTCTTCTTTGGGGATTGGTTGGACTATCTAGCTATTTTACAGGAAGATGGACAAGTACCAGACTTGTAGGAGATGGTGAATAGCTTGCAGAGAATCGGTGTCAATTCTCGTGCACACTTTTTGAGAATAATGGGTGGAATTCCATCAGGACCATAAGACTTATTCGTTTTGAGACCGAGCAGAATACGTCTGATAGTGCGTTGACGAAAGACACATTCTGGCATTCCACTTTCAACGGGTGGAATGTCTGGCGGCAGTCTTTCCTGGGAATCTAAGGTGGAGTTTGCTGAGAACATCTCTGCAAAAAATGTTCCCTTTCTCTTGCGATGTTGTTAGCTAATGTGCCTTCGGCTTTAGAGAGTGGTCAAAGCCTGGTCAAAAAATGATTGTAGACCATCAATGACTGTTTCAAAATATGCCTTCTGTGATTGTTGCATCTTCTCTTCAGAAATATTCATCGAAATTAACATGAAACGCTCCATATTTGCTTGGACCATTGAAGAATTATCTGAGATAGGAATTTATTATCATTTTCATACCCTGAGGTTTTTACCTACCGAGGTCGTGTTTTGGTTTTCTGATAGGTTTGAGCTGGTTTATCAGCAGCTAGAGAATGTGCAGAGTAGGTATATTCCGATACCTACCTTGTCTATCTATCCTCCCTGGGTACGCACGATATTCTTCGTACATGATAGGGATTCTCTTTCGTGCAATCCAAGAGGTAAAAATTTTGCTGATCGTAGCCAAAGATATTTCGAGAATAATGGGCAACCCTGTATATTCTTATTCTGAAACCAGTAAAAACAGTATAATTCAGAACTTCTCGTATTTTGTTAGGAAGGTCGAATATTCCATTTCATATAATATTACCTCGAAGCCATTTATTTTCTTTTCATTCTCTTGTGACTTCCAGAGATGTAAGAAAAATAACTCTTCATTAAGATTTCTTCCTCCTTGAATTAATTATATGATTATTCAATGTATTACAATTATTATGCGAATTATGTCGCAATGTTCAAAACAGCCAAAAGGACCACAATCTCAGAAAATATACAGGGAGCAGCAAAAAGTACATAAAAATACAGAGAAGTTCAAAGTCATTACTGTTCTCTCTGTATTTTTAACCATTGCATTCCACTTTGAGTATTTGGCTTTTTCCTAGTTGAAAAAGTACATACTTTAAATTGAACATCCTACAATATTTGTTCACCACTAGAAACACCTTTCAAAGAGCTTTCCGAAAATACTCTGATCATTCAAAATAATTTTTCTGAAAAAATATGTTTTCTCCGATTGTTCATAATGATATAAATATATCTCTTTATTTTTCCTGTAGTGTTCAATTTAAAAAAAAAAATTGATAGAAATCGCAGTTGTTGGAATGGTTGGTTGCTATGGAAATGTCCATAATAATTATAGTTTGACAATTCATGAAATTTCTGACAGTTGTGCGAAGAAATATCGGTATATTTGAATTATTATATAATGGACAGTGATAGCGACCTGGAAGTACTTAAACCTCCAGAAATAAGGGAGGTGGCAAAAAATATAGAGTTGAATTTGTTGCCGGAGAAGTCTTGGATGAAATATGAAGAAAATTATAAACGATTTATGGATTATTAATTTTGCTGATACATATCAATCAGCAAAGTACCCACTTTGCTGCCTAGGCAGGGAAAGTGATACTTTGCTAATTGATATGTGTCAGCAAGATTAATATTTGCTGCCAATCGGTGAAAAATTATATGTTCAACTCGGCAGCAAAATAGATTGACTGCCTTAGCTAGATTCCTAGCTAGATGAATTCAGCCTCGGCAGACAATCTACTACTTTGCTGCCTAGTCAAACAAATAACTATATCTGTTTTTCTACATTCATGCAAAAAGCAGAACTTTATTGAACTATATTTAGTGGAAAAAGAAGTTCTTTATTGCACTTAGTGCAATAAAGTTTTTATTGCACTCATCTGTCATTCTACTTCAACGTGCTGTCATCATAACAAACATTTTTTATATTGCAATTGTGATTATAGAAACGTCAGTCAAAAATTAATTCTGACAATCAACAGAATTGTACCTTGTGCCGCACCACAATAAATCATTTTTTGCATTCTGCATGAACGTAGAAAAAATGTTGTATGCAACTCGTGCAAAAATTGTTTATTGCACTCGACGTGAAATTGTCCGACGAGGCCGCCAGGCCGAGTTGGACAATTTCACGTCGAGTGCAATTTTGTTCTAAAATTCACTTTTTGCACTTGTTGCATAAATAACTATTTATGTGCGACTCAATGAGAATAGACTACATCTCAATTATCCTCGAGGTTAAATAAAAATACCATTTTAATTAAATTTTTTCCGGAAAAATGACATTCGACATAAAGGTTGCACTTGTTTCGACCTATTGAACTTAAATATGTGGAAATATACATTCAACAAAACAAAGTTGCTGGCAATTCCAGAAAAACAGGGAATCCGCCATATTGAATTAATATCAATAATGATAATTAAAATCAGTCGGTCAAGCTTTATGAAATTCGATAGCCCATATTTCGAAAAAAATACGGGAACCAGAACATAAGAAAAGAAGATAAATTCAAATTTATATGGAATATTCCAACAAAAATTACAAAAACGATTTGTTTTTAGTCAATAATTCTGTCAAATCTCAACTGATTTTCAAAAACGATGTACCAGTGTATTCGAAATTGGAGAATTTTCAAATTGATGGGTTAAAAAAATATATAGAGTGTTATATACTGTCTGTAGGTTCTACGATGAAATGGCGAATGCTAATTTTTCTGGAATCAATTTCATTCTGCATGCTGCCATTCCATAAATTTTACAGTTATCAATGACTTTATCGAAGACTGAAAGCGCACATTATTCGAAAATGTTGAATTTTATTTGTCGCTCCAATTTTGGAAACACCCTGTATATTACAAAAGCAAACGGATGAATCGGGGTTGAAACAAAGCTGGTGATGATATCACTGAAGTAAATTCATTTTATTCGATAGAATGAATTCGATTCGTGAGATGGAATAATTTTACTGTATATCGTTGCTCAAACTTGTTTGTACTGAATGTTAATTTATCCTGAGACAACAACTTCGTGGATTTCCTTGAGATCACCTCAACCAACCCATTCATATAAAAAAATCTCGAAAAAATTCTCTCTTTACCCGCCAAGAATCGCGAAAAAAAAACAAACGAATAATGCATTGCACTCCCGATAAATGAAAAAAAATCGCTTACAATCGATGATGTTTTCTATGAGAAGACCGTGGATTGGCGTGGATATCAAAAAGTCTTCAAAATGATGTGGACATATTCCTTGAAAAATTTCAAGTACCATAGTATACACTTTTATCTTGAACTCAATAGTTAAGAAGTTATGGGCAATAACAACTTTGCTCACCAGTAGATTGCAAGAGGTGATCTCATCTTTGGGGACCCATGAAAAGTTTAGTGTATTCAAATGAGGTAAAAAACCAGACATTAGGTGAATCAAAATATTATGACTATAGCTGCATCCAAAAGAGACGACCCAGATTTGTTCGGAGAGCAACGTTTTCAATAATTAGACGAGCAAGAATGTGTTGTAAAGCAGCGGGGGACATTTTGAACAAAACCTTGATTACATTTATGTACGTAATCAAACACTTCTTAATCGATGAAATATTACATCAATTTGTTCAACATTCTTGCTTCATGACACACTCAGTCAAATTGAATTTTGCTCATTACTCCGCAACTATAAAGTTTTGGACAAAAATGTATGGGGCAATTTTGACTTGAAATTGTTAAAGGAATATGCTCTCAAACTATGGGCTCAAAGATGGGATGGAATGTTCCTTTTTTTTTGAGATACTGAAATCAATTTCGTCGTGCATACTGATGACATTCCATAAATTTTCCAATTATCGATGACTTTATCAAATACCACTATTAAGTGAATGCACACAATTTTTCAGAATTTTCGATTGCTCTAAAGATTTTATTTTCTTGCAATTTCTTGTCTCAGATTCCTCTTACAACACCTCATTTCATCCATCGCACCAATTTTGGGAACACCCTGTATATCATAAAAGCAAACAAAGTTGATATCGGTAACTTATTAGTCATGAATTATTAAGAGGCATGAATATTATTCTCAATTGAAATAAGTTCATTTTATTCGGACGAATAAATTCGCATTGCGAGATGGTATAATTTCACTGTATATCGTTTTTCAAACTTGTTTGTACTGAATATTAATCTATCCTGAAATAACAACTTCGTGAATTTCCATGAGATCACAAGGATTTCACTTTCAAACCGACCGAAAAAAATCCCGAAAACATTCACTCTCGACCCGCCAAAAAACGCGAAAAATCAAACGAATGCACTCGCGTTAAACGAAGAAGAATTGCGTACAATTGGTGACGATTATGCTCAGAGAAGGCCGTGGAAATTGAAAAAGTGACGTCTACAAAGACAGTTGACTGTGTGCTCGAGTCGAACGACGGTGTTTTGTTTCCGTAGGTAGCGGCAGCTAATTTTGGAAAATCTTGCTGATGGCAATAAACTTTGATGAGAATGCTTCACATGCCACATGCCAGCACGTCGTAAGGTCCTTGTGTTTCATTCTCTATTTTGATTAATTTTAGATCGTACGGTATGCCTCAAAAACATCTGGTGAAGTTCATTCTCACGTCGTTGAAATGATATATCACATTTGCGTAAACAAGAACTACGAGAATTTGGTAATAGGTCCGAAAATCACATCTATTAATATTCGAAAATAAATAATTTCACTTCAGTTTCATCCAGCAATACCTGATAACTACTTCTGATGTACTTACCTTGATCTTCTGAGATGATGATACCATATATAGATGGCATTCGAATATAACAAGCATATTTTCAGGACGCTTTTTCAAATGGAGAGTTTTATATTGTATGGTATTTTTTTTTGCAATAAGACCTGTTTTCTTTTCTCCTTTGAATAAAAATGGAAGTTTGGAAAACTAAAGGAACACGCTTTTATAGATAGCCAAACTTAAAAGAAGTATTAGCACGTCCATATTCAGTACATTTCTATGTAAAAGAATCAGAACATGTATACAAAAACCGACTTCGTATACCCCCAGACACCAATTTTGAATAGAATCAGAACATATAATCACAAAACTTGTCCACCATATTGGATCTGTCATATTGAATTTCCCAATTTTGACGAAAGAATCATGATCTCCAACACCGAAACCCCCAGGTACCAATTTTGAATAGAATCGGATCATAATTACAAAACCTTGTCCGCCATATTGAATCCGCCATCTTGAATTTCCAAATATTGACGGAAGAAACATAATCTCAGACCTCGAAAACCCCTAGATACAAATTTCGAATAGTTTCGGATCACAATTGAAAAATTCGTTCGCCATATTGGATCCGCGATCTTGAATTTAGCAATATTGACTACACAATCATAATCTGCGACCTCGAAAACCCGCAAATACCAATTTTGAATAGAATCGGATCACAATTACAAAACTCGTCCACCATTTTGGTGTCGCCATTTTGTTATTTTGTCTAACAAAAATTTCATGGTGCATTGCTACCAGAATTATGTACACCTGCCAAATTTCAAATTAATCGGTCCGTTTGAAGTGGGTCAAAATGGAGTCCAAAGAAGTCGCTCATATACATATACATGCATATACATACATACAGTCATACATACAGATGAATATAATATAAAAGCATGTTGAAAACGTTTGTCTTAAAGAAAAAACTCTGAGCTGGAAATTTAACATGTTCGAAAATCGTACCTACTCGTATAATGGATATTCCATCCATATTTGAAAAACCACTATCTGTTTCACCTGCAGTAATTACAACATCCGATCCCAGAATGGAACACCCTGTATTATCACAATTTCGAAATTTACTTACCAATTCTGCTGAAACTGGTAATACTTACTACATAGATGACTTTTTGAATATAATTTTTTTCGACACTCAAATTTTCAAATGAGTCGTCACACCCTGTATGGATTGAACAAAGTCACACAATTTGTCCTAAATTTTATAGAAGTAGAACAAGAACATGTCTGAAGATGAAATCTGGGAATGAATTCGGTCCAAATAATCACAAGAATATGCGATTTCAAAGAGCCACCTGTTATTTGTTTTCTTTCATTATCAAAAAAAAATGAATGAAAGATCAATTTCAATAACTATTAGTTACATAACGCGCCATCTATGAGCAGTTTTCTGAAGTAACTCACAGAAAACTCGGAAAAACTTATGGAAACTTCTAGGAAAATCGATCCTAGTTTCCTGTTCGAACTCCAGCTACTTTCCCACAGATGGCATCCGTAAATGAAAATTCCATAATGGGATCTGCAGCATACAGATTTGAAAATGAAAGTTTGAAAAATGATGAAGGAAACCCTTGCATAATTAATTATATGGCCATACTTATCAAATCTCCATAAAATATTCAATACCTTACGAAAAAAACTACGAGGATCTTTAGAAAAATTGGTTTGAAAAAACTGTCTGTCACTCTCTCTAATATCGAATGATCAAAAAGTGATTTTTGAAACTCTTTTTTTTTTCTTTTTTTTTTCTATCTCTTGGTGCGCACGAAATAAATTTCCTATAATGTGCAAGAAGAACAAGTAACTAATGGAAAGTACATTGAAAGTTCCTATACATTCAAGTTCCGATGCATTTTATAAAAAGTTTATAGTGGTCATTGTGGTATTTCTCGAGTTTGAATTCTTCCGTAGAGTAGGTATCTCAAATCATCACATGTTATTCATGAAAGTTGTCTCACATAGCAATGTGATTTTGCGACTCTCAAGTATTTTGAGTAGCGAAACATACTTTATTGAACAAATATCTGCTGAAAAGCTCCCTCGAATCACAAGAGTACACAAATAGACAGTTTTCTTTGCTTAAATCACTATGAAAAGATCGAAATAATACACACAAGCCACTGAACCATTTCAAAACAATGTACTTTCTTATAGTTCCACAACCGGCCACTTCGGCGCTATGATCTTAAATTGAGTCGTCCATACTACCATTGGTAAAGAATTCCAGTGTGAAGATCATTAACGAATTTCAGCCTAATATACAAAAGCTTTCAAAATAGGAAAACAAAGATATTCAACAAATATGTTGGTATCCCATGATTACTTATCAGAATGGTAAAATCGTCTATCATAGTATCAAGTTGGCTGAAAGCTATCAAATATCATCAACTGAGCGCTTGAAACCAAATAAAAACCTGCAGTAGAAGACTCAAGCCTTTTCTAAGCCCCCTGGCAAGGTCAAATATACCGAGTAGAGGTAGCTCTCAATGTCACTTCACAGTGGATTTGATGACCTTGAGAAGATGGTGAAGTGACTGTAGACCAATAACCGGCTAGTATGAAGAAAACGAAAATTGGAACGTACTTGGGGACAGACCTTTTGCTTCATCGAATCCGTCTGATTGGACAGACTCGGGCTTCTCCTGTCATTCGATTGCTGAGCCGTCCGAAATCTCTGAAGATCGCTCTCCGACGAAACGTTGTGGAATTGTTTGCTCAGCTGCGGTTTATTTGCTGAAAATTGAACAGATCTTGTATATATTTTTGGTGTTTGTAATGTTTACCATTGATTTATAAAATTTCAGCAGTTATCACTCAAGAGGGAAATATTGTTACAAATGAATCCCTGCTCAGGGCGCCATTTCATTGGATTCGTGCCAAAGATACGATGCTAACTTTGAAACCAAGTTGCCATATGTGATAGAAAGTATCAAGTAGTGGAATAAGTTATTGAGCGTGTCGGATTTTTTCCTAAGAACAATTTTACGAAAAAAGTTTAATTATTGCAATTATGGAAGCTCATCTCCAGAAGTGGCTGTCGCAATTTTAAGTTCCGTCAATTATTGTTTCTCTCCTAATTTCATCCAGGAAAGTCCAGAGAGGCAACTCTGATGTTGAATGATTCAACAAATGCATAGGATTGTTGACTGTCTTTGATATGAATATGGAATGGAATGAAATGAAATACTGTCTGATAGATCAACAACATTTCAACTCCGAGACGATCACAAAGAACAAGTTATACAATGATGATCTTTCATCTCAAACCTGAACGATTTTTTTATCTTCTTTCCATGTATAAACAAAGTATGCTTGCGAATCTTCCTCAATAATGATAATGATACTGTCCTCATTACACATATTATCATTATTTTATTTCAGCCAGGAAATATTCAATGTCGAAAAATATATGGACCACTATCAGAGATAAATAGCAATAAATTTCATTCAACACTTTCCATTCATCTTCAAATGGCTTCTTGATGTAAAACAACGAAAAAATCGTGAAAATTCAAAATGAATGGGTTTCAAGGCTTGTTTTGTCTCTCTATAAATTAACGTTGACAAGACAGGACAATGTTGATGTCATTGCCCTGAATTTTGGCCAAATCCCAAACATACCTGAGTGAAACTTCCAGTTATAAATGAATTCGTGAAAAACACAAGTTTAAACGTTTGATGAATCACGAATCATATAGTATTGTGTCCGAACAATCTGTTTTACATGCCGTACTATGTCGCTTTGTATCATATTCACAAATTTATCATGAAAACTAGATAGCAACTTATTTCTGCAATGTTCCTAGGGACTCTTTTTCTCCTATACAGAAAAATTACTGAATATTTTCGAAAGAAATGAAGGAATGCTTAAGTCGTCTCCACAAATTTATTATTCTTTCCGTTGGAAATTGTTTCATCCACTATGAACAATATGGACTTCTACCACAGACTGAATATTTTTGGAAGGCATTCTCAGATGCAAAATGAATGTGAACGAAAAAAATGATATATTGAAAATATACTCACAAAGACTGACTGTTGGGAAGCCAGATTTGAAGCATTGCCTCCTAGCTATGGCATCTAAGCTCGTGGCATGTGATACACTGGTCTGAGAGATGTGGTGTCTAGAAAAAAACAAGTACCTATGAATAATATACAAGGCCTAAACGTAGACAAGGAAGATTCGAAGTATGTATGAATAATATACAAGATCTTGACGTTGCCAAGTTATCATTATCAAGAATTGAAGCGTAATATAAATTTTCAATTTTTTTTTCAAATGATTTTCTTCACCGAATGATATGCAGCCTCCTGAATTTTCATATTCTGAGGCACGAAGGATTCTGAAATTTACGATTCAGTATAGAATTACCTTTCTGAAGAAATCTCGAAATCATTCTTTCAATTACTCATATAAGCACCTGAATGAGATTAAATGGAAAACTACTCACTCCCAAGAGTCTTGGTCTTGGTCTCGAATGGAAATTTATGAGCTTAAATCTACTCATTATTGAGAAAAATTCGATGGAAAATGTAATGACATTTCATTCCAGTTATTCATCTGTCATATGGTAGGCTTTTAAATTTTGTTCACTCAAAATCCGAACTGAATTTTTTAAATTCAGTATAGCAGATTTGAAGTATACAACAAATAGGTGTATGTTGTGAGATCACAGTGGTCCATACCTCCTTCTATTGAAGATAAAAACAAATTCAATACAAAAGTTGATATATTTTGAAATATTTTGATAATGCGTTGTTGTCAGTTCCTACCCTTTTGAACCTTTTTTTTCTGGCCTGTCGAGCGTCGGCCTGTTTGCTGTTTGGGTCTCATTTAATGTTCATTTGAGGTTTCTCAAGAACTATATTCTTATTGTAAAAGAGGAGAAAATCATTTCGCTTCCTTTATATTATTTGAATTGAATAATTTAAATTTCTAGATGCATTTTGATCCAAGACCAAGACCAAGACTACATTTATTTTCGACACCAAGACCAAGACTGATCAGTTTTGGTCTTGGTCTTGGTCTCGCGAAGCCCTAATAATTCCATATTTCAGTTTCACAGAAATGGAATGATTGGAATGTATTGCTAGTGGTGAGAAAAATGTAATATACACCTTGGTAGTAAATAATATTATTACCACGGGACCTTATACCCCTCGGTTGAGGCTGAAGGCCCTCGGGTGAATGTTACCTTCCGGGCGTTAGGATCTATACAGGGTGGGCCACCAGTAACGCCTCGGTAGATAGTTGATCAAAAGTTGAGATAGGGACATGTAAGCCGTTTTGACCAATTATGAATAGTTTCGACACAAACAATTCTTGAACTTGGAATATCTCCAATTTTCACACCCTATATTTCAGTAATTATAACTGCTAGACCCCAAGTATGATGGGTCGTTCAAATCAGCTCATCAGGGAGAATCTCAAAATGAAATAATATATAGGGTGTTCGATAGAAAAAAGTTTAACTTCAGTGTTTTATGGTTTTTGGGGACATCATGTATGTTTCGAAATAATTTTAAATGGTAGCCTATGTTGACATGCAACTTCCTAGAGAGAAAGAATTCCAAGAGGATAAGTGGTTAGCCTTCTAGAGACCGAGGCGTTACTGGTGGCCCACCCTGTATATAACACACTTGTTACATAGATAACTATTATAAGTGTTCTCAATATATTTATGAACCATCGAAAAACTGATCCAAAATATTTTGAAATATTATACAGGGTGTTTCATAATTGAATGTCAATATTTGGAGAGGCTATTATTGTGCCCATTCCAAGAAGAAAGTTTTATATGAACGTATGTCCTAAACGTCCCATATTTTGAGATACAGGGTGGTAAAGTTCTCAAGAATTAATAGTTTTTTATTAATATCTGTGATATCACTTCAGATATTCTAATGAAATTTTTCATACATGTATTATGCATCAATTGGCATCAGTTGGTGTTCCACATTTTTTTTGGTGGCCACCAGTGACATTCTTATGGAATTTCACATACCTATTTTGATAGACATTGATGGTACGCCACTGCTTAATCTCGAAATAGTCGAAATTGAAATTATTACTGAAATTCCCAATCATTCCCAAGCATATTTGATCACCACATTTTTTTCAATCTGATGCACGGTTTTCGCTTTAAAAGAAAAAGCTTTTCACTACATGATTATAGCAATATCGTTCATATATGACAATATTTACGAAAGCGTAGAAGGCTCACGTTACGTTTTTTTTAAATAGACTGTCTAAATAGACAGTTGTAACTGTCTAAATAGACAGTTGTAACTGTCTAAATAGACAGTTGTAACTGTCTAAGTAGACAGTTGTAACTGTTTAAATAGACAGTTGTAACTGTCTAAATAGACAGTTGTAACTGTCTAAATAGACACTTGCAACTGTCTATTTAAAAAAAGCAATTTGGAATAATTTGGAATTTGGATAACCATTTTATTGGGATTACGGGTGATTGAAGCATCGATGTACGTTGCAAACGTAAAATAGATTGTCTACACCAACGGGATCAATAATTTGGAGCAGAAGACGAACCATGTCTTGTGTAACTACTAAATTATTCTGAAGGCATTTAAGGTGCATCCATCGGTATCCATGTAATTGTCCATGAGTTTTTGTATTATTTATAATGAATTGTTGAATTTCTAGGATGTCCGTAAAATTCTTCCTTCTGAACAATCCCAATTTGTGTAATTTTTCGTTTGAGAGTGCTTGAACTTATGTTTAGATCATGATTGAGAGCCAAACTGGCCAAAATTTCAGTTTGTTGAAAACCCAAACAGAAATAAAATCTTCTGTCCATCCCATCCATCATCCATTTTACTTTTACTATAGAAAAACTACCACCATCGTTATACACGCAATACACACAGCTCGTATTAGTTATCAGCATGTGTTTTTATTGTCCTATGTTGTACTCGAGGTTGTACTGTTATTGTATGTCGGACAGAGGACAGGGGAGTCAGTATTCACTAGTCTATAGATATCTATTTAGACAGTTGCAAGTGTCTATTTAGACAGTTACAACTGTCTATTTAGACAGTTACAACTGTCTATTTAGACAGTTACAACTGTCTATTTAGACAGTTACAACTGTCTATTTAGACAGTTACAACTGTCTATTTAGACAGTTACAACTGTCTATTTAGACAGTTACAACTGTCTATTTAGACAGTTACAACTGTCTATTTAGACAGTTACAATTGTCTATTTAGACAGTTACAACTGTCTATTTAGACAGTTACAACTGTCTATTTAGACAGTTGCAACTGTCTATTTTAAAAAAACGTAACATGAGCCTTCTACGCTTTCGTAAATATTACTATGCAGAGGAATAGATTTTATTTTTTAGATCAAATTTCAGAAATACAATTCATGGATTTTGAAATTTGTATTCGTATTTGGTATTTTGGAATCATAACTTTTCTTTGTAGTAGGCTATTTTAATTTTTGAGAACTTTACCACCCTGTATCTCAAAAGTTAGGACGTTTAGGCCATACGTTCATATGAAACTTTCTTCTTAGAATGGGCTCAAGAATCACCTCCTCGAATATTGACATTCAATTATAAAACACCCTGTATAGTAATCAACCCTAGACCAGACATTGAAGTTATTCAAATCAGAATGCGGCAGATCAATATCCATATGATGCTGAATGTCTTTGAATATTTTGAATCATCTACAGATTGAAACATATATTTGCTAATATTGTTGACAAACAAATTGAAAAGTTGCATACATAAAAAAAACATTGCAAAAAATCTGTTATTACCGCGGCCACTCTAATAACACTCTCACCAGTCTCACCTGTTGTGATGATTGTTATTGTTGTGTGACGTCACCGGCACCCTGGTCCCCCTCTCCACGCTCTCACCCCTCTCGAACGACGCCTGGTGGCTGGCGGGGGCACTGCGCGAGATCGTCAGCGCTGTGTACTCGCGCGCAGGCGCAGGCAGCGGAGCGGGCGTGGGGCGACAGCGCGGGTCCGGGGGCGGGCATCGCGCCCACGCGGGCTCGAAGGCTGGGGCGGGGACGCTCGACGTCAGAGGACTGAAACGGTGTATTTTCAGGCACGACTGTTGCATAAAATACTTTTTTTATGATCTGGTTCTCACGAAAAGGGATATCCTGTAATGTTCAGAGAACATCGTGAGAACCAAGGGAAACAAGGTAGGAATTGATGTTCTTCTCAAATTTCTGGAGATTATATGCCTCGGGCAACATTCCCTTGGCATTGTGTTCTAAAGCCTCGCTGTTCGTTGGATGAACGAGTCTTTGGAAAGAGATGTTCTGCAGGTCTCCAAAGTGACTACGAAGGGGTGCGAAGCCTCAACTCCACAGGATAATCTCGCGGGGACTGCCAAAGGAGGAAAAATTGTTGATATTTCAGTAGAGCATCGTCCATGAAAATATCTATAAAATAGAGCCAGATCGCCAACTTTTCTATGGTGTTCCAGAGGAGAGAGTGAGTTTGTGAGCGAAGCATCACCCACGAGACGAATTGCCCTTTTTTATACAGAATCCAACAGTTGCAGGGTATGTTTGGGTGCTGCACTCCAAATATGTGAAAAGTATTCCAGGACAGGTCGGATCTGTGCCTCATAGATCATAAGTAGCTGACTGAAAGTGAAATAGCTCCTGGTCCGAAACAGAAAACCAAGTTTTTGGGATGCACTTTTAGCAATTGATCTCACGTGATTTTCCCAAAGGTTATTGCTGATAGTAATACCAAGAATCAAAATGAATGTCTTCCAAGGTATGGTTACTCCTGAAAAGCTTATGTTGGGCACAGTGAGATCGGCTTTTCTAGAGAAAAGGCATGCTCGTGTTTTGTTTGCATTGAAATCTACCAAGTTATTGGATCCCCATTCGAGAATTGTTGCCAAGTCCATATTTATATTGTCAACATTTCTTTCTCGTTAGTTTCTGATTTGCCTGGCTGGTATTGGAGCCCTGGAAGAGAAGGCGGTATGGAGGGTACTATCATACGCGAAGCTGTTTACCGGAGATGAAGTTGCTTCCAACAAATCGATGATAGTGAGTAGAAATATTGTTGATGCTAGAATTGATCCTTGCGGAACACCAGCATTTGTGATAAGAAAGTCAGACGAAACTCCATCGACCACTACATGGAGAGACCTGTTTGAGAGAAAACTAGATAGCAGAGAACATAGCTGGGGAGGCAAGTCATAAGATAAGATGGAAGCTTGGCGAGGAGTACGTGGTGCCAGACTCGATCGAATGCTTTGGAGACATCAAGTGCCACGACTAAGGTTTCACCATATTTTTAAATAGATTGCTGCCATATATGTGAGACGTAAGCGAGCAGGTCACCAGTTGATTTCTGGTGCCGGAAGCCTTATTGCCTATCGTTGATAATACCTAAATGTTCCATGAGCTCGATGTTGATATTTTTCTCAATGATCTTTGAAATAATAGATAGCATTGCGATCGGTCTGTAGTTGGTGAAAAAAAAAAAACAACCTCATCGGATATGAAGGGGACACAATTGACACAATTGGTCGCAGTGTATCCACCACTTATGCATACAATACAATACAATCATCTGTGGAGTTATCTTCCTTGAAATTTCTTTTCATCAATCTAAGGGATGTACTGGGAATAAATCAACTGTTGAATATGTATTATAGACAAGTAGATTCAAGACTGCGATACGGTATATGTTTTTGGGGAAATGCTACTAATGTATCAAATGTTTTCATTGCTCAAAAAGCCATTATGAGATGGATTGCAAAAGTCTCGCGTAGAGTATCATGTAGAGAATTGTTCATCAATTACAACATTTTGCCTTTGACATGCCTATTTGTATATGAATTATGTATATATGTGTTTAAAAACAAGCAAACATTTTCACTAAATGAACATTTTTATAATTATAGCACTCGACATAGAGCATTTTCGTGTACTAAATATTTTCCAAAAATGGAAATCCTTGAGGGACTTTGAAATCGAATTGAAAAAATTTACAATTGACAACTGTTTTTACAATATTGATGAATTTTTTTCAAGCACTGTTCGAGTTTTTTTTATTATTTGTTTTTGTTTCACTTAGTAAGTGTGGAAAACCTGTTGACTGTAAATAGTCTCTTATCTTTTTTTCTGCTCAATCTGTTGTATATATATTTCAAAATGACTGCACCAATACAATGTAATCTGTCTAATGAAAATGATGAATGATGATGATGTGAAGTGAACTTACCATTGTTCTAGTCTGTCTTCCTCCTCCTCCGCAGCGGTGACGTCACTGGGAGGAGTGAGATAGCCAGCCAGACGTAGCCCTCTTCCTCTGATGTTGGAGCCGAACCTCAAACTTTGTCTGAAGGATGCCCTTGCTCTGCCGACTTCAAAAAAGAAAAATATTCAGATTATCAACTCTGACTTCTTCCTGTAGTTATATTATTTTCACACCCAGTGCTATAATTTGTTGTTAGGGAGCTTGTAATCTTGTGATGATTTCGATTATGTATTTGAGGTCGTATTTTGAACAGATTCATCATAATTCCTATACCATTTCAATTCGAAAAAAATGCTAATACAGCTACTGCACAAAAATCCCGACTTCTGGTAAGTTGGTTTCCAACTTCAAAGTAGCGATGTACAAATTTCGAAAAAAATATATATCCAACCAGAATAACCAAGAAACATTGATTTGGTGTGAATAGTTTCGGCCACAGGCCATCATCAGACACAAAAATTTATGTTTTGAAGTAGTACCCAAAAAAGAGTCAAAGTTGTTCCAATGAACTTTAATAATAATGAAATGTTAATCTGGTTTTACTGATGTACTCAAATCTATGGTTAATTACAGGACTGATAATAAATTTGAATCTTGAAATAGGCTATTTGTCCTCGATATGTATTGCTGAGGTTAGTACAACTTTGATTCTTTTTTGACTCCTTAACAGTGTCTTTCATTCGGCTTCCATCAATATTTACTATAAAATTCGATTTAATGTAATCTTACAGGTTACGAGGGGAGAATATGAGTATTTTTGATTTTGTTGAATTCAATTTGAGGTTATGTGACAAGCTTTTTGAATGAATTAAGTTGAGATCATGATTGGGATTCAGTTGTGCTTGCTCTAAATTTTCAATATAAAATTCGATGAAAACTTGTGTTTCGTCCGCGTACGCAGATACACTACACTTCAAGACACCATTTTAAGAAGAATAATGCATGCAAAAAATCTTATATATCTCCCTGTATTATCCGATTATTTTGAAATTCGCATACATATTTGTACATTTTTTGTTGTGATTCATCAACCATCGGTGATAAATTTTACCGGTTCACATATATGGTTGAGTAATTACTGATAAGGAGATGCATGGTCATCGATCTGATCAGTGATCAGTCTATATTTTATTAACATTGAGTGTAGTTCGGAGCGTGAATCTATATGTGTGATTGATCTCATAGTGTGATTGCTGATATTCAATGGATATGGAGCCCCCTCACTTGATAATCAAAATTTCTGATCTTCCATAATGTGAATTTGAGCGATGGAATCCTACGTGTTGATGAAATGATAGTGTAGTAGGTGAGTTTCAAAACCTACCGATGTTTGCTAGTGTAAGGTGTAGGAATCTAGTGATTATTATGCATGCTGAAGCACAAACTATCAGGTAAGTTCGGGAATTAATTGTTTCACTTTTTTTTTTCAGAACTTCATTATGAATAACTGACTCGGTATCTACTATGGGTTGCTACCAAATTCCGCCTTTTATCCAGCACAGGGTATTTCGAAATTCAGTATCAAGATTCCAGGGGCTCATTTTTGAGGTCATAAAATAGTTATTTATCACACAAGGGGAAAACGTTGGGGATTTTAGCTTCAGGTTGTGTTGTCTCCCGACAAGTATCCAAGGGAGACAAAAACCCGTGAGCTAAAATCTAATATTTTTCCCGTGTATAATAGACTATTTTCTTTTGTGACATGAGAAAGGACGAATCAATATTGAGAAAATTATCGAAGTTTCACAGCCACAAATGTTTCCTACATCTCAACGTACCGAAGTGAATTGACTGTAACGGTGTGGAAAAATTAAATTCACGGGTTTGCACGCTGGAATGGGTCAGGATGAATGGTTTTACAGCAAAGATCCGTTGATTAACACCGCAATTGTAACACAAAACCTTCAATAATAAACTACTATTTCATCACTATTTGACGATTTTCAAATGAACAGTATTTCCACAGCAACCTTTTCGAAACCATTCAATCCTGTTGCCGGACCCTGTATAAGCGTGTTAAAAATATGCCGCCCTACTGAGTACTTACTACTGGAATGATGAGTATTTACCACCGACTAATCACTCTATCTAGACTGCTTGTAGTCATATCGCAGCAACCCGAAAATGTAGGGCTATATAGTTGCTCGCCTGAAAACGTTTCTGCTCAATACGCAGTAACCCCCAAACGCTGTCGTTCATGACTTTGACGTGGTATAGAAATCAACCTAGCATCCATTTTGTTCATAGGCAGGACAAGGTGGATGGTGTCGGCTCAAGTGTTTTGTCTATGTCATCAGGGGCCGGCTTAATAAATATAATATATCAAAATTGAGTAGAGATATTAATTTTTTCGTTTCATTCTCGCCAATCCTAAGAAATATGAAGTGCTTTGTTCTTTGGTGTAAGAATTCCACGATTAATAACTACAGATGTTTCTTCTCATCAGTGAGTTTGTGGGTAGTGAATAATTCATTATTTTGATTTGGTGTCATCAGTTGAGCCAAGTATTTGAATAAAATAGAATCAGGCATGTTTTGTATATTCATTCCGCTGTGAAGAATTTGAGTTCAGGCGTGAGGTGCCATACCTGCTTATCTATCTTAGACGATTTTTGATTGAAAGTTCACTCATTCAATAATGATTCTAGCATTCTTAAGAATGAAAAGAATGAATAGTTTGAGGCTATTAGGAGACCATTGGCACTCAAGAAGGATGATTATGTTCGGACCAATTTACGCCAGACAGCAGTTTTCTGATGCTTCCAGGCAAATCCAGGACATTGAAACATGCAAATTTGCCGTTTTTCAGAATCAGGTTTTCAAATCTGAGTGTATTTGAAAGCTATGAGACCCTGAATAAGGCATATTTTATTCGTTTCTCACTAATTTATGTATAGTTTATCAACCTTCCATAGTAGACCCCTCCCAACCTTTTTCCTTCCATACGCCTATGTTCCTCGGATTCATGAGTGTTACATGACAGTTCCTAAATGCGCATCATCCATCTTTTTTTTAAAGAACTGGCGGTCTAGATGAGTCTATAAGTCAGTGGTATTTACCCATGGTGGAATTAAAATATGGTGTGCTACTCCACTGTGTCGTCTATGCGTTGTTCAAAATTATTGAATTTCAGAGCTCATTTTAAACGTACCGACATGGCCGCCGAATACGTCGAATGAATGGTGACGTTAGTTTTATGCTGTTTCGTTATTGGTCAGATAATCTCCCATTTCCACTCATGAAGCAAGGTTTTCAAGTCACCAATTATAATTAATTCAATCAAGAAGATTAGAGTCCTGTCACTCCTGTCGTTGAATAAAACAGGAGATAAAACATAATATAAAGAAACCATGATATAATAGTTCATTCTTAACTTTTTCGGGCAGCCAGCATGTCTAAATATCTCTTATATTATCGCAATATCATGTTGATGTTGAAGACTTGGCAACAATGTGCTGAATGCTGAGAACTGACAAGGCACTGCCCACAATTCGTGATACCGTGTTGTCACGTTCACGCTCAAATGTCCTGTAGTGTGAATTAATATAATAATATTATTGTTGACATAAATGTATTATGAACAACAAGCCACAACAGAGGAGGGAATATTTTGAGACAATTGATTTGTTATGTCTAATTAGGAAAATAACCAACACAAACATTTTGGATTCATGAATTATAAAATAACTAATATTTCTGAAGTTCCCAATCGTATTTCAAGACATGGCATCTGTGCTATGGTTTGCCTCCTACTTACGAAATCGTGACGCCAGATTTTACTCGCGGTAAATGTTTGGGCCGTTTGAAATAATAATAAATTGGAAAAATATTAAATTGAAAGGTATTTCAGTGATGATTCTATTTAAGAAATAAAACAAATCCAGTCCACACGCCTGCTCGCAGTCTGAGCTCGCAGTTATCATTTCGTCCACTGGTACTGGTACTGGTGGGGGATGTTTTCACGTCAGCAACTAGTCCCCAATGGGACCTTTTTGCAAACCCCAAGTGTTTTCAATGACTGATGTGGTTCGCTCAAGAGAGCTGGCTAACATCCTTTTCAGGCACCGCCCATCAGCTCTCTTTTCAGAGTTTTTCAGCTGTGTTTTGTAGGCTAGTAATGTACTCACTACCATATGCGCAGTGGCAGGCCTGCTAACTATCATCGTTAACCCCCGAGACCGAGGTCTAATTAAGCAGCTGGCCGCTCTCACGCTCAGCTGGTAGTTATTCCACACCCACCTACATACACCGTCCTACTTCTTCTCTGATGCTCACAACAACATCATCATATCTTTCTGCGTGTTCTGTGTAGGCTTTGTTACTAACTCCATGCGCCACTTTAGGAGCAGCACTGTTAATTGGAACGCAACAGCGAATCGTGCAGGACTATCCCCAGCCGATCCTCCGAAACTTCACAACATTTAATTCGTAAATAAAATATTCCTTGCCCGTGCTGGAAATCGAACCCACGACCATGCGGTCGTGAGACGGACGCTCTTCCACTGCGCCAATCCCGGCTTATCATTTTCGTCCAAGTCGCCGTGATCATTTTGTTGCGAGTGACGTTATGCGCAGAAAAAACGAATAGACCAAGGTAGCTGAGTAGCACACTATAATATATTTGCATCATGTATTTACCTACATTTACTTAGCCTATTTTTGGCGATGGGGCTGTTTTCTAAGGAGGAGGCTGGGACTGTTGTGAGGTCCTCGAAGTTGATGATAATCAGACTAATGTCATCCACCTCGCTCCTTATAGGTGCTATCACTTCCGAGCATAGGAACTTTGATCCTGAAACAAAAATCCAAATTCTCAATGGGCTCTCATTTCTAGAATCGATATAATTTTTCCTCGAAATCTAGTGCAGTGTTGTTTCATTATGATGTATGTACACTCGTCTTCAGAGATCATGTCGCACATGGACAATGTCAGCTCTCAACTTATGATTTATCAAATGGAATACCCTTCATTTCATCAACTCATTGATTTTTTTTTCTTCAAAATAATATATAGATAATGTATGAATAGAAAATTATCAGAATTGCTCCAAAATCACTAGAACATTGAATTTCAATAGTGGGCTATGGATTTTTCATATGAAAAAAG